CACCCCCATTTTAATAGAAATGCGCTGATCAGCATGTTTTTGAGCGTTTTTAACTGCGTTTCAGTGCTGAAACGCGACTAAAAACAACCAAAATGCTCTTTCAAAAACTGTGCGGAAACCACGGTGAAACGCTTCCGCCCTGGTGTGAATGGCGCTTGAATGAGGCCTAACACTTTACTTTAATACTACCACACCAATGAGAGGCTGAGGAAAGGGGGATTATAAAAAAATGAAGGAGCGCTAAACTGTAAATAAGCGATTTATGTTATAAATGGTTTTTGCGCTGTGTTTGTGTTGTGATAAAATGATGCAGGCGTATATTTAATTACAACACAGGGTATCACAACGCACGGCAAAGCGCCACAAAGCTTTGCCATGCGCTGCCACAGTTAAGTTAATTTTTTTTACAAAAGAAAAAAATCATGCACTGCAATGCGTTCTAACAACGCACTGCAGCGCATGTGCCTGGCGTACACCACAATATGGTGCACGTGTATGTTATGTGTGTGTGGGGAGGGGGGGTTTGTGCTTTTTATTAATTATTATTTACACATTTTTTATTTTTTTTAATTATTATTTATTATTATTTTACTGTTGTGGGGCTTCGGGGAAATATTAGGGGTCTAAACAGACCCCTGACATTTCCCTTTTGAAATAGAAAAAGACATTGAAGACACAGAGTCCTCAATGTCTTTTTCTGCAGCCTCAGCACTCAGTGAATGGGAAGCACTCAGTACAGAGACTTCCCATTCATTTACAAACTGCTGATAGTAAGATATTTACTAACAAGCAGATTCTCAATGGGGAGGAGCCTCTGTACTGAGTGCTTCTCCCCATTGAGAAATTCATGAATGAACAGAAGGTGATGTAAATCACAGCCTGTTCATTCATAACTGGGGACACATAGTATTATGTGACCCCAGTTATTTACAAACACTGTAGTGATCAGACAGACAATCACTCCGGTGTTTGTCCTGCACACGTTCCTCCTGTCAGTTTCAGGATGGCAGCGGCTCCTCCACCGTCCATTTTTTTTCGGATACCCGCTGCCTCAACCCATACCCCCCCATGCCATGGGCCCCATAGCGACCGCATTGGTCGCTATGGTGGTAGTTCCGCCACTGGATCCACCCCACTGCCTGATTGACAGCTGGTTCTGCCTCTCTAGAGCCATAGCCAGCTGTGCCCGCCACCTCCCCTGTCTGTCCCTCCATTCAGCACTGGAGGAACAGAGAAGGGACGGGGGAATCCCTGCAGGGAGCGGTGACTGACAGTCAGCACTCTCTGCAGGGAAAAGATAATGAACTGAGTAATCAGCGGTATGTGATCTCACAGTTCTCATTCAATAGAGCCAATGTGTGACAGCTGCAGTGTCACACCGTGGCTTTATTTATGGGGGTGTGTGTATTCCACTCTCCCCATAATTCTCCTTTACTGGGAAAAAGTGTTTTACTTTACTAGTCATTCTATTTATCACTCAAGAATGTAGATTTATTCTGATATTTGTCCAGCATTTGCCTTGCACAGTATTCAAACTATGCCATTTTAAAGAGGGGACATGTGTATTTTAAGGTGTGTCTTGCTCTGCAGCTGTAAATATTTTCATATATAGTGAGCGTCAGACCTGTGTTTTTAATAAATTGTTCAACACTTCCATGATTTTTTTTGTGGCATATTTATGGGCTAGTGTCCCCATAGCAAGGTAGCAGCAAGTGTGCAGGCACCCAGCTATACTAATACTAGCTTGCCTACACTTCAGCACTGAAGGAGTGCTTTAAAACAGATACACCAATCTGATGCTGTTGGGCTGTAAAAGGGGGGCTTCTGTGTCACCAATTTGCCCCTGTCAGAAGATGCCCCACAGTAATAAAAAAAAAAGGTCGAGTAATTGCTCTCCATGGTGCTGAAAGAGTTTATACCCAGTTTCAGCACCATGGACAGCAATTGCCAACAGATGAGTGAAAGGACCTCTTGTTATTTAACAAGATTTACACAATGATTTGCCCAAAAAATTCAGCCGCAAATATGTAAATAACCTCTACTGTATTTTAGATATTCGAAGCAGATCCTGAGGGCTGATATCACAGGTTCAACTGTGTACCCCTTTTAAGCCAGATACATTTTTATATTTTAGCTTTGGACGTGATAAGCTCAACGATAAGTTAAAGCAATACATACGTTCAAGGTAATACATACTTTGGGGGAATTTATCAAAGTTGAAGCAGAAGAATCTGGACCAGTTGCCTATGGTAACCAATCAGCTTCTCTCTTCAGTTAAGGTTTGAAAATGAAAGGTGGGTGCTGATTTGTTGCCAAGGGCAACTGCTCCATATTCTCTCTGCTTCAGTTTTGATAAATTCCCCTCATTAAGGGGAATTTATCAAAACTGGAGCAGACAAAATCTGGAGCAGCTGTGCATGGCAAGCAATCAGTGTCTCTCTTTCATTTTTTTCATTGTAAGTGAACAAACTGTAAAGGGAAGTTGCTTGGTTGCCATGGCAACTGCTCCAGGATCTGTCTGCTCCAGTTTTGATAAATTCCCCCCTATTGTCTTTTCTGGGACAAATAAGATTTTTTTGCCAGTATTGCACATATTATTTAATTTTAATGTACTTAATATGCAAAGCAAAAAATCAAAACAAAAAATGAAAAAAGTTTAAATATGAATAATGAAAATGAAAAGGGACAAGTTGATGGAGCAGCAATTTCAGCCTAGATCTCCTTGCAGGATCCTTGAGCAATAGATGGGAAGTTGATAGTTGGTTTTGGTGACTTTTAAAGGTTCAGTGGGCTCTAAATGACTCCTGAGGGTTACCAAAGCTCTATTCAACTATACTAGATCTCTCCTTGTGCTATAAATGGCCTCTCATTAGCCTAAGCAGAATACAAAAAATTGAAGCAACAGCACATAAACAATGATCATACACAAAGAACAAAACAGATAAAGAACACCAAATTAAGTGGCCTAAACGACCCTTAAGATTCAGGGTTCCATACCTGAGAAGCCTCCGCAGCTGCGATCCACACTACTGCAGTCCATTCAGGCGTTACACATAGCACCGATGTCTTTTTTTTAACTTGCCGCACGTGGTGTGGTCCTCTGGGCAGTCGCCGGCCGCCTAAATTAGGACCCCACCTGGAGTGCCGCCCACCGGAGCAGCAGTGACGCAACGCTCCTCTTCAGCTCAGCGCCGACGACGTCCTCACGTGTGAGGAAAATCGTTCGCCACCTTGTGAGGCACCTCGAATGAACAGGCAACAGTAAGTGAGGGCCTGGGCTTAAGTGGATAGTTTAGAATTCTTAGTGCGAACAAGAAGAATCTATTGCTGCAGTGTAGTTGGAATATGTACTGTACATGTACTACATATAGAATACACTGCAGCAATAGATTTACAGTAATCCCCTGCTAATATGAATAGGTTAAATGATCCATAGTAAATAATATGTACATAACATGTTGTTGTACTATAGATCATTTAACCTATTAATGTTAGCAGGGGAGAATTGTAAATCTATTGCTGCAGTGTATTCTATATGTAGTACATATACAGTACATATTCCCAATACACTGCAGAAATAGATTTACAATGATCCCCTGCTAATATGAATGGGTTAAATGATCCATAGTACAACTACATGTTATGTACTATTATGTACGTACGGATCATTTAACCTATTCATCTTAGCAGGGAATAATTGTAACTCTATGGCTGCAGTGTACTGGACGTGTGTGCTGTATATGTACTATGGATCATGATTTAACTGATTCATGTTAGCAGGGCAGAATTGTGAGCGTCTCTCACAAGCTGAGCACTGAGACGCAATGCAGCGATTCTGCCCAGCGCCGACTACAAGAGGCATCGCGTGAGGCAACAGGGATCGGAGTGAAACTGTGAGTGAGGGAAGCTGGGACAGGGCTGGCTGTAAATCTATTGCTATAGTGTACTGGAAGTGTATACTGTATATGTAGTGTACATATGTACATATATACAGCACACACCTCCACTACACTACAGCAATAGATTTACAATTCTTCCCTGCTAACAATAATAGGTTAAATCATGATTTAATAGTACATAACATGTAGTTGTACTATGGATCATTTAACCTATTCATGTTAGCAGGGCAGAATTTTAACTCTGCAATGTACTGGAGGGTTAAATGATCCATAGCACACACTTCCAGTACACTGCAGTCATAGAATTACAATTCTGCCCTGCTAACATGAATAGGTTAAATGATCCCAGAGGCAGGTGCATGATAAGATTTGCAGTTTCACTGTAGCTGTGTGAAAGCAAATACAAATGCTTTATTGTTCTAAAACAGTCTTAAATTAAAGTTCTTCATAATCGTAAAGAAATTGGCCTAAAATCATTAGTATGTATTGGTTTTTTTTAAATGTCACCTGTCCCTTTAGGAAAAAGTATCGGTAATTGGTATCAGCAAGTACATGAGGGGAAGTACTTGTACTTGTACTTGGGCTTGAAAAAGTGGTATCAGAACATCCCTACTTAAGATCCCCCTCCACTCAAAAAAACAACCTTTAAATAAGGAAAGAAATAATAGATCTTTTTTTGAATTTCCTCTTCACGGAAATTCCCCAGAAGGCAAATTTGGTCATTTTGCAGCATAATCAATTTTGCCACCATCACTCTGCGGATCCCTAGTCACCTGAACCACATAACTGATTTGCATAATTTACCATGGCAAAAGGTTTAGGGGTCAGTAATGACACAATATGCCTGAAATGCATAATTCATTTTGCTGAAATCACCCCTCTTATTCTTGTTCCTGTTATGCTGAGTTGAGTTACACTTATCACAGAAAATTGTCATATTTCCTGAAAGTGGTGTCGCACTAACAGTTGTTTGCATTATTCTGCCATCCATAGGACAGAAAGAGTAGAGGTACATATCCTCTCATATTAGGTATGCCTCCAGATTTCACAAATCTTTTAATTCAAGCACATAAACATTTTTATATTAAAGATTTCACTTACATTTTTACTTTGGATTCCAGTGGCTGTTGACAGCCCATATATTTCATGCTATTATTATCTACATCCATGTCATCCTGATGGCTGTGAAAAAAATATGAGTATATTTTGTTAACATGCTAACAGGTCACTGAAGGAATAAAACCATGAAATGCCTTTTCTTTGAACAATCTGCCTCCAGACAATATAATCTGCTTTCATGTTTGCCGGTAATATGTTAATCCCAATACCATTGTGATTTATGATAGAAATCCCTTTTTATCTTTTTTTTCTAACATTTATATTTCAGTGTCAAATATTTATCAAAATGAAGATTAAAAGCTAGGCTTGTGAGTAAAATAGACAATTTTGGTATGAAATATTTTATTCTCCAAGTACAAATAGTACATTCACATGTTTCCTCGCCACCGCCAAAATCTTCTCTCCTGAGAACATTTTTGGCTTTGCATACTTTAAAGCAGATAGGCAACATTGGCACTCCAGCTGTTGTGGAATTATAAGTCCCACAAGGCACTGCATGATTCTGACAGCCACAGGCATGCCTGCCAGAGGTAGTTGCATGATGAGATTTGCAGTTTCAGCACAGCTGGAATGAGGTTCCCTACCCCTGCATTAAACTGTATTAAAGTACTAAAGTGTATTAAAATTCAGGGCTGCTCGAAGTACTAAATCACAGAGAATCCCCAAGACACTCAGGCTAGCATTATTAGGATAAAGACTAGTAGACATATTCAAAGTTAAGGAACACAGGGCTGCTATTTCTAAGACTTTAGCTGGAATACTTATTATATGTGAATCATTTACTGGTATCATTACAGTTATTGTAACAATTGTAGTATCTATTATCAACACAATAATGATAGAATGCTGAAAAGAACTACAGCAATGTTCTTAATATACAAATTGACTCTATACAAAATTAAAATGTGTTTTAATTTTGAGTATATGCTTAATGTGGTAGACTTGTTCTCAGGTTGAGTTGAAGCTTACCCTTGCTTTAAAAAGATCCCTTCTAATCCTTTTAAAATAAACACATACCGGCATGAATAAGTGTTTTCTACCTGGGGTAAAGTCTTTTTTTTCCTGAAATAAAGTTTTTTGTTATAACAGGCTGAACTTTTACCTTGCCAGCAAGCAGGCCCCATCATTGATTTGTTCAAATGAATGTTGAAGCCTTCCGACTTCTTCCTGTAAAAGGACAGTAAGATGGATGTCAAGAGTAGGCTTGCACCTCATTAGCATTTTTTTTATATTCATCCTAACATATTCTTCTGATTTTTCAGAGATGAGTATGATCTTTATTTTACAGATCCAAAGCTATAATATATACAGTGTGTAAAGTACACGTGTATGTGTGTAAAGTACATGAAGGTGAGAACTGGAAGAAAATTTTTGACAGGCAGAGATAGACAGTCGTGCACACAATGACCGAGATATATATCAGTGTTGATTATTCAATGGGATTGACCTTGTCAATAGTTAATTTGCTGCCTTAATGTTCTCAATAACCCATTCACTTCCAGAAGAGTATTAATGAACTACCCCGCATATATCCAAAGACTTTTAGATTCTGGTCTTTACTCAAAGCATTTATTCTATAATTATCCTTTAACCTTTCTCTCCTTACATTTGTTCTATATGGCTAATCCATTTGTGCTTCAGTAATGAGCTAGGGCCAGATTTAAAACACAGTCATTTGACAAGTGGATTTTTCCAGCACCATTCAAATTACCCTTTTCATATTAAAATGTCTGCATACATCAAGCTATCCTGAGTCCCATCAAAACATCTGAGTGACAATGGAATATGACTGGCAGGCAGAAAAAGATAAATGATGCCTTCTTGAACTCCTAGAATGCCTGGAGCATGAATATCTTCCAAACAGAGCTCTGTTTTAACAAAGTTAAGTCTGGAAAAATATAGAATTTGTACCAAGAATCTTGTTTAAAAAAGGAAAATGTGCTTCTTTTATATATCTTTCCTTCAAAATGGTTTAAATTCCACTTCATCCTTTGACTCAACCAAAAAGTACCTTGATAATTTTAAATTTTTACGTAATGAATTCCTGACTTACTATCCGGTCCACTCCTACCATAACACAAGGTCAGAGTCTCGTCAGTAGGAATGCCCTCGAGGAAGTGGCTGGACAAAATCCTTCCATCATGGTGCAATACAATGTTCCACCCCAAGATATAAAGAGCAAGTGTAGTAAATGTTCTTCCCTAAGGCTCGGTTCACACCTGGGCGTACCATAGGCGTGTTTTTTCTGCTCGTTTTTCAGCTTGTTTTTTGCGCTTTTTTTATCACGTTTTTTCGTTCAGTGAAACGCACGTTCAATGCTTGTTTTTATTCCTCCCTAGCGGTATGATTTTTTTTTCCTTTATTTTTTTTTTAAACTTTCAAACTTCCCGCCGGTTCCACCTACCTGCGACGCGGCCGCTCGCAAGGGACAGAACCCGGAAGTCGGCAGCGGCCGAAGGACACAGCGGGGATCGCGGACAAGGTAAGTCCTACGCTGTATTCCCGAGTGTGGCTCGGGGTTACCGCTTTGTTAACCCCGAGCCACACTCCGGAATACCAATGGATATGCGTGGAAAAACGCCCCAAAGAAGCTCCTGTACTTGTTTGGGTGTTGGGGGTTTTTCAGCACATTTCCACGGGCTGAAATATGCCCAGGTGGGAACCATGCCCATAGGGATTCATGGGATTTCACTTGCTGAGCGTTTTTCAGCACTTTGAACAGCGCTGAAAAATGCAGAGGTGTGTACCCGGCCTTAATCTGGCAGTAGGAATGCTAAATCATACTTCTTCTGCACTGTAAATGAATAGTTATGAATTATCTTCCTGCTTATGTGAGAGACATTTGGGGACTGGCATAACACAGGTGCAATTGGGATCAAGAAGGAATAAAAAAAAAAAGTGACAGTAGGGCAAAAATGTAGCTGAACACCTGTGAGCTCTATGCAAAATGTGAGCTGGGCTCCACAAAATGAGGATTTGGACACTGGCAGACAAAAAAACAGTGACCAGCTTTGTATAAACCCTCCTATTCCCAGCATGCCTTAGTTTTGCAGTAAAGTAGTGGTGAGAGCAAGACCATAAACACATAGGGGTGGGACCTGTGTTCCATAATGAACTTAAAGAAAAGGATTTTACAATGAGTGCAAAAATCCTGTTTTCTTTGTTCATTGAAGGACAAGATTTAAAGGCACTTGGGATGTCCACAAGCAGTCCAACTGAAAGATGGGCAACACAGCAAAAAAAAGCTAACAAGCCATCTACGCAAAAAATAGGAGAGCCACCTAAAGAACCAGAGCTGGCATCAGAAGAGACCTGAACTTCCACCTGGTAAAACTTACAAAATTTGTGTACTGAAAACCAGGTGGCAGATTTCCAAATAGGATAGGATACAAGTTGTCTGATGCCAAAAATGTCCAAGGAGCACTAACAGATCTGGTAAAGTGCACCTTGACAGGAAAGGGGGGAACCCAATCCTTAAGACCATAAGCCTAAATGATGGTCTGTCTGAGCCACAAAGAAATGGTGAAACGTGAAGCTGGTTCCTTTTTGTGGGGACCATCAGGGATTACAAGTGAGTCAGTATTTCTAATGTGAACATTGGCTGCGTGGTAGACACACACAGCACGAACTACATGCAAACAATAAAGGGAAATTTCTGTTAGATGTACTAAGGCCAGGCAGAGGGACAGGAGCACAATGTCCTAGTTAAGGTGAAAAGTCAAAGTCACCTTGAGAAGGAAGGAGGCTTTAGGCCTTATCACCACCTTATCTTTGTGCAAGTTTTTGTGTGGTTTTTACAGGATAAACCTGCCAGTTCAGACACATGCCTTGCAGAAATGATGCCAACAAGTAAAACAACCTTCTGAGTGAGCATAGAAGATGAAGATCCCTGATTTTTTTCAAAGGCCTGTTTTTGAAGTGATGAGAAAACCAAATTCAAACCACTGGAAGAAACAGGTGAGCACACAGAGGGAACAACATGAGAAGCACCCTGCACAAAGGAAATTGAAGAATGAGTAGCTAATTGTATTTAGGGCCAATTGTTATTTTTAGTCCTGATTATAATAAGGTTAGTATTTGTCCCTGGGCTGACATTAAGGTTTCCTTCAACACACAAAGTGAAGTATACCTTCATTGCGATGTAAGATCTCATGAGAAGTTGAATTCCTGGCTTTTAACATTGTGGGGATCACCAATTCAGGGAGACCCCTGTCTCTCAAGACCTGAGCTTTAACAGCCATCGGCAGAATGCCCTCTAACTCTATCCTGCGGAGTAAACAAGGAAGGAGTTTGAGGGGGAGAAAAGGACATAGATCAGGTTCTACCAATTCCATGGAGCCACCAGAGTACCCACTGCCTTTGCAGAGGATTTCTTTACCTGGAGACAAACCTGTCCCATTTGCTGTTGAACCTGGAAGGCAAGAGATCCACATTTGTTTATCCCCTACCAGTGACACAGGCTCTGGAGCACTTCCGTTTGTAGGACCCACTCCCCCATGACAGGCAAATATGTCCAGAGACTACACAGATTTGTCCTACAGAATGTTGAGTTGTAGGGGTCTGAAATGAAAATGGGCAAACAGAACTGTCTCGAAGAAGACTGCTATCAGTCCCATTACTCCCATGCAAAAAGCAAACAGTCAGTCGACTCTTGGACAAAAGAGTCTGAGTCTGGGACTGAAGAATTAAATGTTTTTCTTGTGGAAGAGTTAACACATTGTTGATTAGTGCCAACTGTTCCTTCAACACTGGGTCGCACAAATATCCCACAATTTGGATGCCCTGGAAGTGTAACCAGGCAAGCACAGGGGCTAGAACCTTGGTGAATACACGTTGAGTGGAAAACAGACTGAAAGGCAGAACCATGAACTGGAAATGCTGAGGACCCACAGCAAAGTGAAGAAACTGCTTATGTGCTGGAAATATAGGGACATGCAAGTACACATCCTTGATGTCTACAGAGACCAGTAAGTACCACTGATGAAGGGAGGCTATTAAAGACTTGGTAGATTACATACAGAATTTTCTAGAATTCTTTAAGCTTCTTAGAATGCAACAGCATCTGAAGTAGGTCTAATGCAGAAATAGTGCACCTTTAATGAATTCTTACTGATCTTACAAGTGTCTAAAACTAATGTGAAAAGTACTCGCATTGCATTTGCCCACTGAAGCCCATCAAAGTAGGCCTTTAAAGGAATTAGATATTTCAACTGCAAAAAAAGTCAACAGTCTTGTACTCTGTGACTTCTGTCTCCTTTATACATTACTGTTAATGAGTGCTTTGTAGCAAAATATGTATATATTATTATGAGTTATGTATCTGAGCATGTGAATAATGCTAGTAATTATCCATAAAACTGAGTGCTTAATGCAATTTTGACATTCATTGGCAGGCATTCTCTTTCTTTTTCTTTATCAAAAACTGGAGCATGACAGTAGCATAAATAAACTGTTCAATTCCACTGGTGAAGAAACAGGGAGCTGGTGAAATAAATCAAACACAATGACCCTCTGAATGTGCTCTGATATTTCACATGGTCAGTACCTGTGGTATATTACATGGGTGACTTTATGTTCTTCAAATCAATACTATAGTGTAGATTATGACCATTTTACGTTTCATTTCCATGCTATTTGTTAAGCATAATATTTTATACACCTTCTTCTGTTTACACTGTAGTTGTCATGAATTTCAAGATAAGGTAGATTGGTAGCTTTAATGTTATGCAAGGTGTACAAACACACTAAATCGTGAATTTCTTATAGCAAACATTTTTTGAGTTTGCATAAAAAATGTTCTACCTGTGTTTTAAATCATTTGACGGTATCAGTTACATTTGGGGCACTCAAATAAGGCTCAAATAACTATCTGTCATTTTCAGGTGCTGATTTATAGCAATTATAGATACGAAAATGTGAACTAAAGTGGTATTTCTGCCCATAGTGACCAATCAGGTTTTATCTTTGAACAATTAAACAAGAACTCTGATTGAATACTGTTTTTTTAAATGAAGTGATAGGGAAGAATATTATTTTCTCTTCTTTGTTCACCGTTCAATGAGATCCTGGTACAGTAAACCAAAAACACTGGGGATCTGCAAAGCACCATACAGCAATTACCTAGGTGAACGTTGTGTGAATCTTGTATGAAAAAATTATAAATAGAC